CAGCTGGTGATGCTGCCAGGCATGAATAACCTGATCAAGGCCCGCGCTTTGAGTCAAGGAAAGCTGGGGAGGTACCGGGGGCAGTGCGTCGTTTAGGGTTTAGGGTTTAGGGTTTAGGGTTTAGGGTTGAGGGTTTAGGGTCGTTTAGGGTTTAGGGTTTAGGGTTTAGGGTTTAGGGTCGTTTACGGTTTAGTCCCGACATGTAGGGACTTGCTTCGCTCAGATAGCCTGTTCTGTTGTTATAGGCTCCTTCTCCTCATGTTACCCTTCATAAACCAGGTCCCTACATTCTTCCTTCCCCACAGTGACATCGGTAGACAAGAAACGTCGAGTAGCTGAGGGCGCGCCTTAGATTTCTTAAGCAGTGTTGTCACTGTACCAAAACCCTAAACCCCAAACCCAAACCCCAAACCCCAAACCCCAAACCCCAAACCCCAAACCCCAAACCCCAAACCCCAAACCCCAAACCCAAACCCCAAAACCCCAAACCCCAAACCCCAAACCCCAAACCCCAAACCCCAAACCCCCCAAACCCCAAACCCCAAACCCCAAACCCCAAACCCCAAACCCCAAACCCCAAACCCCAAACCCCAAACCCCAAACCCCAAACCCCAAACCCCAAACCCCAAACCCTAAACCCTAAACCCTAAACGCTAAACCCTAAGAAGAGAAAACAACCCTAAACCATAAATCCCTAAGCCCTGAAACCCTTCCTTCCCTCTGGCCTTCCCGAAAACAGGCCCGGGAGGAGCAGAAGGTGGGGCAGCCAGTTCATCACCCGGCGCCGGGTGAGCTGGTGGCTTGGTTGTGAGGGGTTTTGGGGTTTGAGGGTGTAGGGTTGAGAACTGAGGGTTTGGGGGTTGGGGTGACTTTTTTGGGTCAGGGTTTAGGGTTTGGGGCGTGGGGCAATTTTTAGGATCTAGGGTTTCGGGTTTGGGGTGTTTAGGGTTTGGGCTTTAGGGTTTCGGGGCTGGCGGTTTAGGATGCAGAGGGTTGGGCCTAGGGGGGCCCTCCTTGCTAGTTGCGACTTAGGGCTTACACAGGGGCGTAAGATTTGGGATTTAGAGGTTTGGAATTAGCCTCTCTGGGTCTGTTCTTCTGATGGTGCGGCCATAACCGACATCCCCAAACCCTCAGTTCCCCACTCCTAAACCCTTAAACCCTAAACCCATATTCCCCAAAACCCATATCCCCCGAGCCCCTGATCCCCTCAAACCCCTAAAGCCCCCCAGCAATTTCTAAACCCTAAACCCTAAAATATCCTAAACCACCCCCGCCCCGAGGCTTCCGAAGACGACCGAATCCTCTTTCTCTACAAGCTCAGGGCCTTCGAGCTTCTTGTCGAAGGATTAGGGGCTTAGGGGTTTCGGGTATTGCGGGGGTTTGTGAGGCGTTTGAGAGGGTTCATTAGGGCTGAGGGTTTAGGGTTGAAGGTTTATGGGGTTTAGCGTTTAGGGGGTTTAGGTGTCTGAGGGTTGAAGGGTTGAAGGCTTGAAGGCTTGAAGGCTTGAAGAAGGGTTGAAGGGTTGAAGGGTTGAAGGGTTGAAGGGTTGAAGGGTTGAAGGGTTGAAGGGTTGAAGGGTTGAAGGGTTGAAGGGTTGAAGGGTTGAAGGGTTGAAGGGGTTGAAGGGTTGAAGGGTTGAAGGGTTGAAGGGTTGAAGGGTTGAAGGGTTGAAGGGTTGAAGGGTTGAAGGGTTGAAGGGTTGAAGGGTTGAAGGGTTGAAGGGTTGAAGGGTTGAAGACATGAAGACTTGAAGATTGGGGTTTCCGACCCAGTTTATGCAAGGTGTTTCGGGTTTGAGGGCTCTAAATGTTGTTGGGGGTTCTGAAGGGAGGGGGCTTCATATGGGGGGGGGGGGGGCAGGTACCTAGAGAACCTTAGGGAAGCTTAGGGAGCCTTAGGGAGTAGTGCTGAGTACTAGGGAACCTTGGGTTATACTACCCTATAATGTGGCCTCTTCATCAGTCCAAGGGTTGTACAGGGGGGATGGACGCTTACTTGGGGGTATACGAAAATAGGGAGGTCCCCCAAAAACAAACCAAATAGGAGGATTCCCTTAAAGTAAGGATCCCAATAAGGTACCCGAATTTCGGTTCCCGATTCCTAACCACCAGAGTTAAGACCCAAGGTTTTTGCAGCATTCTCCCAGGGTTCCCGAGGGTCCCCCAGGGTTCCGGGGTCTTAAGGGCTTGATGGTTTGCATGAGGCATTTAGGGTCCAAAGGTTTAAGGTGTTTTCGGGCGCCCAGGGGTGCGGTTACAGTGGGTTTAGGGTTTGAGGGTCTGGGGTTTCGGGTGTAGGGTTTAGGGTTTAGGGTCACAACCAATCATTCTTCCCCTCCTCTCCCCCCCCCCCCCCCCCCTCCCCAAAACAGTGTAACAAGAGGAATGTCGTGGAGTGGCTGCCGGTGTTCATCATCCACGCGGGCGCGCTTGTCGCCCTGGGCAAGGTCGGGACCTGCGTACTCCTTTGCCGCCCGGCTAGTTTTGGGGTTCGGGGTTCAGGGTTTAGGGTTTAGGGTTTAGGGACTGCTTCTAGAATTCCTGGGGGCCCTTTACCCTACACCCCAAACCTAAACCCTAAACCCTAAACCCTAAACCCTAAACCCTAAACCCTAAACCCTAAACCCTAAGCCCTAAGCCCTAAACCCTAAACCCTAAACCCTACACTTTTCGGCCCGCCATGTCCAGCTCTGGGTCCAAGGTATCCCCTACACGGTGGGGAAGTTCATGTTCGCGTACGGCTATGGCGCTGGCGCTCCGACGCAGGGGTTTAGGGTTTAGGGTTTAGGGTTTAGGGGCTCCGACGCAGGGGAAGACGGGGGCAGGGGCTGCCTGGGACTCAAGTTACCTACAGGTGTAGTAGTAACGACCCCTTGACGTAAGAGGTAGAACCCATAACCTAAACCCTAAACCCTAAACCCTAAACCCCAAACCCTAAACCCTAAACCCTAAACCCTAAACTGTAAGACACTTTCGTCCAGGAAGCCCAAAGCAAATAGTGGACAAATCCAGGGATTTCGTTGTCGATGCTTGTTCTGAGTCTGCTGTGCAGTCCTTGTGACCACTCATCATTCGCCAGTGCAGTTTTGATGTTGATGCACGGCTTCTGTATGCATTTCCTAGGTTCGAGTTCTATCAGGGCAACGGGTAGGGAAAAGAAGGTGCCCGATGACGCGAATTGTCTTTGCGTAGGGGGTGATGTCCATGGGCTCCATGGTGTTCACCTCCAAAGGCGGCGTGCGCCGATGCTCTTCGTATACATTTGTCCATGTTTGTGTGATTGTGATGGGATGTATTTTCCTATTGCATATGTGCGAAATACATATTCCATGTTGGTCACTGCTCTGTGGGGCCATGTGCTGCAGTTTACGCTGCAACGGGCATCAAAGTCGTATGTGTTTTTTCTGGCTTGTACTTCTGGTGGTCATGCCACGTTCGGCTGCTGCCGTGGAAACTTCCAACAATGTTGCAGCTTTGTGGAGACAACCTTCTGTCTGCAAGTTTGGGTGCGAAGAGGCTATGTTGGCGATGGCTGTGCAGTGCTTTGGTGCATGGCGACAACGCTGTCCGAACAATTTCTTCCAGGACTGCAGGCTCTCCCAAGGGCAGCTGAGGGGGGTACACCGTGAAGCGGGGAGAGCACTCAAACGCATGTGTCAAGTTTCTGCCTGGGCTTATTGTAAGCAACAATGGAGCCGACATTGCCCTTACTGCAAAAAGACATGGGTACGTTGTGGCTGCTGCATACACTTGGCGCCCCGAGACTGGCATTCTTCGTGCAATGTCACTGTGGATGGGAGTGCAACCTTCCCGCAATACGCTGAACATCATGGCCTCAAGATTTGGCAGGTCATTCGCGTGATTGAAACCATCAAGGGATACATCTACAAAGATTTCTTGTCTTCTTCTCCGACCCACTATGACAAGAAGTTGTGTGCGTTCTGGTCCATGCTCGAGGCTAAGTTCGGTGTGGCGCACACCACTTCCACAGGCGTATTGTACATGCTTGCAGCCCCGTGGTGTTGTCACAGCTACATCGGACAAACCAACGGAAACGGTTGGACACGTTTGCAATCGCACAGGTACGCCTGCTTGTCCGGAAAGCAATCGGGCAAAGTGTATGACAAATTACGGCAGATGCACTTCAGCTCCTTTGTATTTGTCCCTCTTTGTGATCTTTCTACATGTGCAGCAACAGTTGCGGACAGGTTGTTTGTGGAAGCTCAAGCGATTGCAATTTGGAAGCCCACTTTGAATGTTCAAGGAACTCCTGCCAGCAACAAGTACAGCAACGAATATGTCTCCTTGGTATTTCCCCGCCGCGTTCAGGACAGACCTCTGATGCATGCACGTGGAATTGTTCAACAAGATCCAGCCGCTTTGTTTCCGCCTTCAGCAATCCTTGGCCCAAGGGAGCGACCTGGAGCTCACGGCTGGCGTCAACGACTATCTGTAGCAGTGTCAGTTTCCAGACGGCCAATTCGTCAACGTGGCGTCGTCAATCTTGGTCTTCTACAATCTATTCAGTCGTGGCATCCTTCGTACCAAATGCGGATCACTCTCACAGCCATGCGATGCCTGGGCATTCACCGTCGCGCTATCTTTTTGCAAAACATGAGCCGTGCTCTCGGAGCTTTTTCCTTCCGGCGGATTGCCATTAGCAGTCACCTGGGGTTCTCTGCTAGTGTGCGCAAATGCTTTCAACAACAGCTCCAATGCACACTATCTGCAGCCTACAAGTTTTCTATGACGATCACTGTTGTGAAGTTGTGTATTCGACCAATTTCGTGCCCATCTTTGCTTGACCTTGTTGACAACTCGAGGCGGATTCTGGAGTGCTCTTCTGAGCCCACTGTATGTCCCTGTGCTCAAGCCTGGTGTCATGATTGGCGTTTGCTGGATGGTCATGTTTGTGACTCCCTCCAAGGGGTGAGAGGCCATATCCCGTGGGACTGGCCTGATACATGGACGGCTAGGTCACGATTCAAGCCTGATGTGCAGCAGGTCTGCGAAGATTTGCAGTCGCAGTTCAACATTGCTTGCAGGGACACGTGCCCGAGTTTGTCTGCCTTTGCCGGGTTGTACGACAGTCCTTCAATCCAGCACACAGTCGAGCGTTCGCTGCTTCGTTTCTCTACCTCTCCTAGTATTCTTCAAGGTCGTCAAGCTGCTGCCGTCTTGTCAGACTTCGCCTGCATTCCTGTCGACCGGGCCAAGGGCGAGCTGGCTGTATTATGTCCGCAGAAATATTGGAGAATGGGACAGTGTTTCCTCAAATCCTGCAACGCCGTTCCCGTCTCCCTCGGTGAGGTGATCCACTTCAATCAGAATTTCTTCGTGTGGCCGAACAAGCTTGAGGTCCTTCCTTTTTGTCACTTGAGACGTGGCCGTGAACATCGCTTCGGACAACTGACCCTCCACGTGAAGGCCAAGTCACTTTTTCCATTGTGTGCAACCTGGACTTCTTTGAAGCTGCGCCCACTTGTGTCTTACCGCCGGCACCACTGGCGACATCTTCTAAGCAACACATGTCGCGCCCTAAACTTCATCCAGCAATCTGTCGCCCCTGGGTTTGTTACCCTGTGCGCCGCCAGCTTCTGCGGCAAAATCAGGAAATTCAATGACGACACAGCCGCCACTTTCGGTACCTGTGATGTTACTGCGAGCTTGCATATTGATGACATTGAGGACTTTTTCACCAAAGCTCCCCGTGACAAGGTGTTGGATGCTGTTCACTGGGCATGCTCTCGCCTCCGTCAGCAATCAGGGCATGAATATGTTTGCATTCCAAGGACAGCGAAAGTCTTCAGGCGCAATATCTGGATTTTTGCAGACAAGCCTGGACCATGTGGCTGGCGCTCCTTCAAGCCTAAACGTGAACTTCATGCAATGACAGCTTCCATTCCCCCTGACCCACGACTTTTTTACTGCTTGGCGTTACGGGATATTCCTGGTATTCTAGCGCACGACTGGAAATTTGCATGGTTTCTGGTTGGGGGCATCCTATACAAACAGCCCACAGGGTTTGCACAAGGTAGTCCTGCTTCTAGTGGAGCTGCCAACCTCTTTGCGGCTGTTTGTGAGGAGCGGTGGTTGCGGCAAAAACCCGTGGTCCTTCAGCAGCACATCTCTCTACATTTATGTGCGGCTCGTTGGATGGATGATCGTCTCTTGGTTTGGCGACCTGGTTTCAATTTGTGTCTGTTACATGAACTTCGGGACCCCGCCTTTTACGCGCAAGAATGCCGACTCAAGCCTACGCACGATAACAAGTTCATCGGCCTTCGTGTTTTCTTCAGTCGCGGGTCTTTATGCACGATACCGTGGTCCAGTCATTGTGATCACTGTTTCCTTCAGCGCCTACCTCGCGCAGGCCGCCTCATGTCCACTCTTTCATTTGGGAGCGATTCCGCTGTGCGAGGTCATCTGCTTGGACATCTGGTACGTGTATTGGATTTCAGTATCGGCACCCGTGCTTCGCTTCAAGCTGCTGTGTTTTTCTTGCTCGTTGAGTTGGAGCATGCTGGTCATTCGCGGCGAAGACTCCTCAAGCTTCTATGGCGCGTCCATGCAAAAATGCCTTTTCTTGATATTCCCTTGCTTATGCAGGACAAGTCTCTGAGCGTGCAATGTGCTGCGTGGCACATGCTGGCTTTGTGTTCATGTGCGTGAGTGTTTGTGGTGGAATTTGGCCTTACTCCGCTTTGTGGCCTCTGCATGTTGGAGCCCTTATTCCGAGATTAAAACCCTACTGGACCATCGTTTTGCTCTTGAAGCCTTGCTTTTCCTCAGCATTTTGTTCCAAGCACTGGTGCCAACCCTCCTTGACTCGTAGCGTGCATCATGTCGAACCCACTCCTTGCGGCTCTTGTTCAGGCTGCTGTGTCTGGCCCAGCCAGTGGCGCAGGCAAGGGAACCGGTCGCGGGGTTTGCTTCTCTTTTCGCAATACCGGTATGTGTCAGCATGGTGACAACTGCCGGTACGAGCATGTGCAGCAGGTGGGTAGCCAACGCCGTGATTCGGGCTTTACCTTGACTGGCCCTGACGCTTCAAAGAAGTCGGCCTCGCAGGCTCTGCAGGTGCAACCCAACCTCCATGACTTCTTCGGTTTCAGCAAGGGTGCCGCACCGTGTGACAACGGTGAGCAGTACGGGAAAATCACTGTCGTTGATCGTGACCACATCATCTCCCAACTCGTGGCGGTTGAGGATGGTCAACTCACACATCGTGTCATGGCAGTCCCTGCTGCAGTGCATTCTGAAGTACACGAGCTGCTGGAGTTCTTCGGGACAGGTGTCTCCATCGGCGGACGTGCTGTGACTACTCAAGATATGCAACAACAGCTGAAGGCTTTTGCAGATCACTTGCGTACCTCTGGATGGCGACCTCGTGTCGCTGCCCCGTCCACGTCCTTGCAGTCCGATTTGGCAAGCAATATCTCAGAGCTCACTGCGTTGCTCAAGAATGGCCTCAATACTCCTACCTCTTCGTCGGCTAAGCGTGTGCATGAGGCAAGCCCTGGTGATATCATCGCTGCAATGGGGAATCTGTCTCCGGAGAATCGTGCCGCTGTCTTAGTCGCGCTGGGTGGTGGAAGTTCCGTCCCGCCTGGACCTTCACCTCCAAGGAAGGCTGCAGTGTTCGGGGGAGGGGCAATGGAGGCCCGTCCTCATGTGCCACCGCTCCCTACTGTGGATGTCTCTACTCCGCTCTTCCCCGATGCAGACATGGAGGCTGATGCCCCCGCAAACGCTGACCTTGCCCGGGTTGAAAACGAGCTCTTGGCGCTTGTGCGGAGTTCAAGCTCTGGCCTGCCATCGGTCCGGGATAAGGCTGCCTTCGATGAGAGTGCCCCGCTAAACGTGGCTGCTTTGGACGGGATGATTGGACCGTGCCAGCTTGATGCTGATGCTTCCTCGCTTCCTGATTTGGCCACCCTAGTAGGCTCTCAAACGGATGAGCTGATTGCAACATGCCGCGAGATCATACCCAAAGTGGTGCGCCAGCTCAATCTGGTGTTCAAGCCGCAAAGGCGTCTGGAACTCCTGTTGCGCACATTTGGATGGGTTTTTGTCGCACGGGCACGTGAACCGGTCGGGGTGGTGTCCTTGAGTATTTGTATTGCACGCAAAGCGGCTGGTCTAGCACACACCCCTTAGATTCCGGCACGTGCAGTCCTTGTGACCACTCATCATTCGCCAGTGCAGTTTTGATGTTGATGCACGGCTTCTGTATGCATTTCCTAGGTTCGAGTTCTATCAGGGCAACGGGTAGGGAAAAGAAGGTGCCCGATGACGCGAATTGTCTTTGTTGTACTCTTTTCGATTGACACTTCTTCCCACAAGAACCATGACAGCCCCTAAAGGCTCCTTAAAATCATGTACAGCACCCTGAAAACCTAGCGAAAGCCCTTAACAAAGTGCAGAAAACATCAACGAACTTTTTGCAAAAACCCAAAAAACCCAAAAAACCCTGAAAGCCCTGAATGCCCCGAAAGTCCCCTAAGCCCTGAACCATAAACCCTAAAGCCCCTAAGGCCCCTAAAGCCCCGAAAGCCCCTAAAGCCCCTAAAGCCCCTAATGCCCCTAAAGCCCCTGAAGCCCCTAAAGCCCCTAAAGCCCCTAAAGCCCCTAAAGCTTGGCACCTGCGAAGGTGACTCGGACAGGCGGATACCGGGCCTCGTCGTCAGCGACTTCTTTGGCTTATTGGCGCCCTTGCGTTTATAAGATTTAGGGTTTAGGGTTTAGGGTTTAGGGTCGGCTTTCTCTGTGATTTTAGGGTCTAGGGTTTAGGGTTTAGGGTTTCTTGTCATTCGGCGTTGCAGGCATGCAGTTCCAGTTTTCCCGACATAATGGCGATTTTAGGTTTTCGTTTAAGCTCGTTTCAGGTTCATGTTTTTTGGGCGTGGGGGCAGGAGGCTTAAGGACTACGAGCGTTGAAGGCTGTAGGTTGGCATAATAGCCCTAAACCCTAAACCCTAAACCCCAAACCCCAAACCCCAAACCCCAAACCCAAAACCCTGAACCCTAAACCCTAAACCCCAAACCCTAAACCCTAAACCCCAAACCCCAAACCCCAAACCCTAAACCCTAAACCCTAAACCCTAAACCCTGAGGGGGAGCATCCCCACCTGTGAGGGGCGATAGGGTCATGGAAAGCCTGAGGTGATGCGCGGCGTCTGCATCATGGCGCTCTTCTACCACTGCGTGGACGCCTAGGTCCGGGCCTCGTGCACCGGCCGGCGCTTTGAGGGTTTAGGGTTTTAGGGTTTAGGGTTTAGGGTTGTAGTGTTTTGGGCTTAGGGTTTTCGGGTTTAGAGCCAAAGTTTAGGGTTTTAGGGTTTAGGATTTTAGGGCTTAGGGCTTAGGGCTTGTTTAGAGGAGTGAAGCAGGGGAGGCTATCAGATTTGGGTTCGGGGTTAGGGTTCCATATTCGGGCTCCCGTTTATAAGGAGTTCGCGTCGAAAAGAGGAACGTTCTCCAGGCCGTGGGTGTTGGGTTTCGGGTCCTTGCCCTAAGCCCTAGACCCTGAGCCCTAAACACTAAACCCAAAACCCTCAAAACAAGACAATTAGAAGTTCTACGTGGTATCATTCTGATTTCCCAAGTTGCGTGTCTAAACAGCCCTGAACCCTAAAGCCTAAAGCCTAAACCCTAAACCCTAAACCCTAAACCCTAACCCTAAACCTTAAACCCTAAACCCTAAACCCTAAACCCTAAACCCTAAACCCTAAACCCGAAACCCGAAAGCCTAAACCCTAAACCCTAAACCCTAAACCACCCTCAGCCCGAAAGAGTTCAAGTAAATTAATCCGGAGCGCTTCTGGGGCTCAATTCGCTGAAACCTGCGAGGCCTTCCCCCTCCAAGCTCCGAATACTCTAGGGGTCGGAGAAATTGCTAGTAGGGGTTTAGGGTTTAGGGTTTAGGGTTTGGGGTTTAGGGTTTAGGGTTTAGGGTTTGGGGTTTGGGGTTTAGGGTTTAGGGTTGCTAATAGTATCCCCTTGTGGTCCCTTTATGTGTTTTCTACAATAACCCCCCAAAACCATGTTCCAATTATTAAGGCCCCTATATTATATCTTTGCGTCCGACCACGTTTCGTTTCACACCCAGCTATGGGATTCAATGAAGCGAAACTTTATCTGAAAACTTTTCGCTGAAGCCGTTTCGTTGGAAACGTTTCCTACGGTTCGTAGGAAACGTTTCGTAGGAAACGTTTCGCAGGAAACGTTTCGTGGGACATGTTTCGTTGGAAACGTGAAAACGTCATTGGGACCCAAACCCTATACAATTTAAGAGCCTCCGGCTCAAGCCGCCGACCCCGCAGGAGAACAAGTTTAAGGTTTGGGGTTTGGTGATTTTGTTTGCGGTTCCTGTTGGGGGGGGGGGGTGGGGGGGGTGGGAGGGGGGGGGGGTAGGGGGGGGGGTAGGGGGGGGGTAGGGGGGGTAGGGGGGGGGGGGCTGAAACAGCCCTATGTTCTGTGCGAAAACGCCTGTGCTCCATGTTTACGCGGTGTGGGTGGCCTGTTCCTCCACGGAAAAGCTGGCCGGGTACCCCCCCCTACCCCCCCCCCCATTTTGGGGGTAAGGAGGGAAAGAGGGAGGTTTTCACCTCCTTTTCCCATCCAACACGCCGCCAGGGTCGGCGGATGTCTATAAGCTCTAAACCCCAAACCCTTTAAACCCCAAGCCTTTTCAACCCGAAACCCCTAAACCCTAAACCCTTAACCCTAAACTCCTAAGCCGAAAACCCCCCCCCCCCCCCCCCCCCCCCCAAAAAATTATGGACCCCTAAGCCCCTAAACCTCTTAAACCCTAAACCAAAAACCCTAAACCCCTAAACCTCTGAAACCCCAAACCCGGAGGAGTTTCCTTTGAGGGCTCCAGGGGTGTTGAGATCTTGGGAGACCCTTAAGCGTTTAGGGTTTAGGGTTTAGGCTGGTTTAGGGTTTAGGGACCCTAACAAGCTTGCCTAAGGCATTTCACCCGGACGTGCCGCTGCACGCCTGAATGCGGAATCATCAGCATCAAGCTCCTGCAGCTGAGATCAGACTTGCTGCTGCTCGCGTTGATGATGCCCTAAACCCTACACCCTAAACCCCAAAACCTAAACCTAAACCCTAAACCTCTGATGACTACAAGTATGATGATCATGGTTCATGTTGTGTCGTTTGTTTTTGTTGTTATCTTGTTAGTGCGGTTGTTATTCATATGACTGCTCATATCGCCGTTCCGCTGATTGTGACTATTACGGCCGGTTTGTTAGCCGTCTCCTCCTCCTCCTCCAATGTTGTGGGGGAGGGGGGGATTGAGGGTTATTCTGAATGAGGTCCCTAAACCCTAAACCCTAAACCCTAAACCCTAAACCCTAAACCCTAAACCCCAAACCCTAAACCGGAAACCCTAAACCCTAAACCCTAAACCCAAACCCTAAACCCTTTTCTCTTTCTGTAAAGTCCTGTCAATCTGGGTCTCCATTAGTTTGGAGCAGCCCTGCACAGCAAACCCTAAACCCTAAACCCTAAACCCCAAACCCCAAACCCTAAACCCTAAACCCTAAACCCTAAACCCTAACCCCTAACCCCTAATTCCTAACCCTTAACCCTAAACCATAAACCCTAACCCCTAAACCCTAAACCCTAAACCCACCCGTCTTGGGATGGCGGAGGCGGTGCAAAACAAGAAGTCCCGCACCGTGGATTTAGGGTCTAGGATGTAGGTATTCAGGGGTTCAGGGTTTAGGATTTTAGGATAGAGGAATTTGGGTTTCAGGGTTTAGGATGTGAAATTTAGGGTCCAGGGTTCAGGGACTCATTAGGGTTCGATGACGGAACCTTCCTGAATGACCCTGCTGGCCGCGACTGGACCCTTGAAACCCGGAACCCCCCCCCCCCCCCCCCAAAGAACTCGAAACCTGTAGTCGAATCACCCCACATATTTTAAACCACATATAAGCTAAACCCGAGACCCTTCTCTTGTTGGTGAGTGATAGGCTTCGTCATAAGTATCGGCGAGTGTATACATGGGTTGTCCTTGTGGGGATACTAGAGCTGAAAACCCCTTCTTCATGTAGTCCAGACCCTCCGATGGGCATGACGGTAGAACACCCCCGACATGTGACACGTGCGACAGCTGGCTCAGGGCACAAAGGCATCCTCAGTTGCCATGCCACCCCCCTCGCCCTAAACCCTAAACCCTAAACCCTAAACCCTAAACCCCAAACCCCAAACCCCAAACCCCAAACCCTAAACCCCAAACCCCAAACCCCAAACCCCCCCCCCCCCCCCCCGCCTCTCCAAGCATGGAGGAGCCCCTGCTGCGGTACACCGATCGACGTGGGGAGAGTTTGGTCGCAGCTGCCACGATTCTCGGGACCTCCTTGATGCTGAGCGTCTGCATCTACTTGGACGTCACGATGTCGGAGCCGAAGCCTCATAAAGAGATACTTCAGATCGTCGAGTACATCTTGGCAGGGGCAGGTGTGATCCTGATCTGGAACTACGATGCCTGGTGTGCGGTCTTGTGCAGTGTACTGTGGTCACTGGCTTTGATCACAATCATCAGCCTGATCCATGCACATCTGCAATGACCACTGCAACATTCGCGACCCTCCGACATGAGCCCAGCTGCAAGTGCAGCTATCGGCGAGACCGTGCCGATCAAAGCGGATTGCAGCATGCCCGCCCGAAGCATGCTCATGGTATTGTCAGAGATCGCTGGCCAGCTATGGGGCATAAGCCTTGTAGCCTTGGAAGCCGCCAAGGGCTGCCCCGCCCCCTCCGGGGGTAGACTCATCCGCGCTACGCATGGCCGCAGGGGCACAGGGGCAAAAGGCACAGTACCACAAGATTGGCGTGGTTGAGGCAGATTGCCGCGATAACCAGCGTCGTTCACTTGGGGGAAAGGTGATTTCGGCACACACGTTGGCCTCAGGAGTGCGAAGCTTTGCATGCAGCTTGTTAGGGCCGCATCCTACCTGCACCTATGCATACCCCAAACGCGCCCTAACCTTATAAACCCTGTAAACCCCAAAAAGCCCTGTAAACCCTTTAAACCCTATTTCAAACCCTATAAAACCATAACGCCCTGTAAACCCCGTAAACCCTAAACCCGAACCCTGTAAACCCTAAACCCTAAACCCTAAACCCTAAACCCGAAACCCGAAACTCGAAACCCGAAACCCAAACCCGAACCTTCAAGCAACCCCAAAGTCCGTAGTCGATCCTTGCACGCTGGGCGCGTGAGGCAGCAGCAAGAAGCTCTCCAACCAGCCATCCCATTCTCAGGTCCACAAAAGGTTTAGGGTTTAGGGTTTAGGGTTTAGGGTTTAGGGTTTAGGGTTTACCTGAACCCGAAAACACTCAAACCCTAAAAGCCATCAAGCCCTCAAGCCCTAAAACCCCTCAAAAACTCACCTAAACCCTCAAACCCCTGGCCCCTAGACCCTTAGCTTAAACCTTCAACCCCTTAAACCATCAACCCTGAACCCCAAGCCCGTAACCCGTAAACATTCAACCCTAAACCCTAAACCCTAAACCCTAAACCCTAAACCCTAAACCCTAAACCCTAAACCCTAAACCCTAAACCCTAAACCCTAAACCCCTCAAACGACGGCCGGCAGGCGACCCGAAGGTGCCTGGAGGGCGTTTGCGAGGCACCCACCAGGGCATCAGATTCGGGGTTGAAGGACGAAAGGGTTTAGGGTTTAGGGTTTAGGGTTTAGGGTTTAGGGTTTAGGGTTTAGGGGTTGGGGTTTAGGGTTTAGGGGCTAGGGGTCTAGGGGTCTAGGGGTTTGGGGCTTTAGGGGCTAGGGGTTTAGGGCATAGGGTTTAGGGTTAAGAGTTTCGAGGACCAAAAAGTTAGACCTCAGGGGCATTCGGGGCTTGGTGGGCTGAGGTTTTCGGGGGCTTATGGAGGGCTTTGCCTCGGGGTTGAGGATCTTAGAGGCGAGTTTCGTGTGTTTCCTGGCTGGGTTGGGCTAGTGATATTAGGCTCGAGGCTTCGCCTCAGCAGGAAAGCCGTAGCCCCGGAGACTTCTTTGCTTACGGTTTAGGGGCTTATTGGAAGAAGGCGGGTGAGCAAAGGAGAATAAGAAGAGGAATCGTATGAGTGAGAGTCATGATCTCCATGTTACATGTTATAGGTAGTAGGACTGCACCCTAAACCCTAAACCCTAAACCCTAAACCCTAAACCCTAAACCCTAAACCCTAAACCCTAAACCCTAAACCCTAAACCCTAAACCCTAAACCCTAAACCCTAAACCCTAAACCCTAAACCCTAAACCCTAAACCCGACAAAGCTGCAGCCCGGAAAGCCTCCGCCCAACGAAGAGGCTCTACCGGGGGAGTGGCCAGGCACTGGGTTTAGGGTTTAGGGTTTAGGGCTTAGGGCTTAGGGTTTAAAGGCTGGAAGAAGCCTAAGCCCGAAGAGAAGCCCGAAGCCCGAAGAGAAACCGGAAGACTCTAGAACCCCTCAACCCTACCATACCTGAAACCCCAAACACAGGGGTTCGGGTTAGGGGCTTTGGGTTGAACCCCTAAACCCTAAACCCTAAACCCTAAACCCTAAACCCTAAACCCTAAACCCTAAACCCTAAACCCTAAACCCTAAACCCTAAGCCCTAAGCCCTAAACCCTAAACCCTAAACCCTAAACCCTAAACCCTAAACCCTAAACCCTATCCCCCCCCCACTAGCTCTTTGAAATCGCAGAGGCAGCCTTACCAAGTCGCCCTAAGCTCTGCAAACTTCTGGGCCTTGGTTTAGGGTTTAAGGTTGAGAAGGGTTTCGGGATTAGGGTTTAGCGTTTGGGGTTTGGGGTTACGGAAGACTTTTTAGGACCTTGGGGTTTCGTATATGTTCCCTTGTTGGGCTGTGAAGGCTGAAGTCGATCAGACTTAGGGAACAGGGTCTTTTGCGTTTGGCCTTAGATCTACACCCCCCCGAAGTAAGCCTGAAACTGCCTGAAACCCCCAAACCCCAAACCCCAAACCCCAAACCCCAAACCCCCAACCCCAAACCCCAAACCCCAAACCCCAAACCCCAAACCCCAAACCCCAAACCCCAAACCCCAAACCCCAAACCCCAAACCCCAAACCCCAAACCCCAAACCCCAAACCCCAAACCCCAAACCCCAAACCCCAAACCCCAAACCCCAAACCCCAAACCCCAAACCTGGAGCCCCGAACCCCGAACCCTAAACTCTAAACTCTAAACCCTAAACCCTAAACACTAAACCCTAAAAAAACCCTACCCCTACACTCTGAAACCTCTAGCCTTCACCCCTCAGGCCCGCAAGCCCTCCTGCTCCTAGGGCCTTGTCAGCTGCAGCCCCTAAACCCCAAACCCTAAACCCTAAACCCTAAACCCTCTTAAACTCCAAAACCCTGGAATCCAAACAGCCTAAAACCCAAAGCCCTCGTTCCCAGGCACTCAACTTGCAGGACCCCCCCCCCCCATGCCAAGCCCTGAGGGGGTGTAGGGGTTGAGGGTTTCCAAAAAGTTGGAACATCCTTATCCCCATACCCCAAAAGGTATACTAAGGGAGTCCCAGCTCCAATAATTCTTAAACCATGTTCCAACTTTCTGGAGTTACCCTAAACCCTAAACCCCCAAGCTCTGTAGGGGCTCACCCACATCCGTGCACGTCTTCGGGTTTAGGGTTTAGGGTGTAGGGTTTAGGGTTTAGGGTTTAGTGTATAGGACATGCTCGTTTCGTCTCGACGCCGAGGGCTCAGCAGCATCAGCCAGACTGCCGGTATCCATTCCGAACAAATTTTCCAAAAGCCTACAGGAGATTGCCTTCTTACTTGAGGTGTGTGCGTTTTAAGTCTCTTGCTATTCGTGGGTAGCCACAGGGCAAGAGCCATGGCGCAAGGCTTGGAGGCATTACCAGGCAATCCGGACGCGACTCTTCCTGAGGTTGTGTTGGGCATTCAGAACCGCGCCCTGTCTGAAGTTTCAGAAGCTTCAGACAAAGATGCAGACGAAGACAAAGCTGTCCAACTGATGCAGCTATACATCAGTTTCGTCAATCAGATGATGGCGACACGGCCGGAAATAGTCCGTGGTGTCCGAGTTTGGCGCCTGTTGCGGTACTTGCCGTCGGCTTGGCTACGAGACAACGTCGATTCGTTGCATTCATGTAGTCAACAGACAACGCAGTTCGATCAGTTCTGGTCCCACAGCTGGAAAGGGCGATGGTGGTCCAAGTACATCAACATACTTTACCTTCATAATTGCGTGCCGGCAAGCATTGCCGGATCATTGGGCGCAGGCGTCGCCTGCGGCCTCGTCTCAGCAGGACTTCTGGGTGCACGCGAAAGATGGTGCTTGCAAATTGGGCTTGTAACCTTTTGCCTGACCCTGGTGCTTTGGCATCCTCGAAAGCTGGTGTTTCTAGACATCGCATGCATTCACCAAACTGACGAAGACAGAAAGGGCGAGGCCATCATGAGTATGGGTGCGTTTTTGAAGGATTCAAGTTCCATGCTGGTTCTCTGGGATCCTACGTGGGTGACAAGACTGCGACTTGGTTTTTTCTCGGTCTCGCTATTATTAAGAAGTAAAGGGCCCTTTTTGAGCGCTGTACACAGAAGTGAAAACATATTTCTTCATTGACCCTGGAGACTTAAGGTGGTGCATCTTCGAAGTAGCTGCCTTTCTACACAGCCGCAAATCCGGTTCCAGGGCGGATCTACAGATGATTCCACCATTGTTGGGCACAGTATTGCTGGGATTTGAGATTCTGGCTTGCATACTCCAAATTATCTACGACTACATCGAATCCTCCCATGTCACGTCGGAAGATGGAGTATGGGTAGGAGAGCACCACGTGATGATCATTGGCCTTTTTACCATGCTTTTCGTTATCGTGACGCACCTCCTGCGAGGTTATGCCCGCAGTGTTGAGATGCTCCAAGACCAACTCCGTGAGTTCAAGGTCGAGAACACGATCAGCGCGTGCTGCGCCAGTGCCAGCTGCAAGGAAGGCGGGTCCGGTCTCTGCGACCGCGCGGTTATTCTTGAGTGCATCGCTGCGTGGTACACATCACTGGAGAGCTTTGAGCTGCAAGTACAATCTGATGTGCGGATGGCCGTCATCGATCAGCTTGCATATAGAGCCATCTCTTATCAACGTGCTCTGCTAATGTGTACGCCGTATCTGTGGCTTCGTCTTGGGTATGCAGCTAGCCATGCAAGCGATCCCATCCGACAGCTAGTCGATCTAGCCCAGACATTCACCTACTTCCTGGCAATTATACCCGTGCTGGTCAAACTTTCCTTCCGTCTGTGCTACAGCTTGCGGGCACGATGTTGCAATCTCTACATGGACGTCTTTCTGTCGATGGCCGCGGTGATGGGGGCCTTCTTGTTCTACCTAGCTTGCTACGCGATCCAACTTTACGTCTTCCGTCAAAATGACCGGGAACTTCTCCTCAGTGTGATCTCAATGATTTCTTGGTGGATTGTCGCAGCCATCCTGTGGCGAGTTATTTGA